CCAACTTACTGCGGTAGGTCTTGGGGACGTGGGCGACTGCCATGCAACCGAACACCCTCAGCATGTCCACCGGCGGCTTCCTCCCAAGCCACCTCTCCAACGGCACCCACGAGTCATCCCCAACCTTGGTGAGCACCCTGTTCCTAGCGACAGTGGCGTGCCGGACAGCATGAGGCCACATAGAATTGCTCAGCCCAGATTCTATGAGCAGCGCCCTAGCTGTCTCCAGAATGGTCCGGTTTGCCCGTTCTGCTACACCATTGGACTGTGGGGTATAAGCCGTGGTCAGCTCTCTCTGGATGCCCTGCTTCTTGAGCCAGGCCGTCATTTCAGCTCCAAGGAACTCACCACCCCGGTCTGTCCTAATCCGCTTCACTACACACTCCGCCTGCTTCTCCACGAATGGCAGCCAATCGTCCCGTATCGTGGAGGCGGCGTGGTCCTTCTGCTTCAGCGGATACGCCCACATCAGCCTGCTCCAGTCATCCACAATTGTAAGAAAATACCGCTCCCCCTTGTGCCCTTGCACCGGCAGTGGCCCCACCAAGTCCATGTGGACCAGCTCCAAAGGCTTCTTGCTCCTGCCAGCCACACTATGGAAAGGGAAACGGGTGAACTTTGAAAGCAAACAGATTTCACAGTTGTCATCGGGTGGCTGTCCGTTCAGCTTCAGACCCTTAACGGCTCCATCCTTCTCCAGCTGCTTCAGCAAAGGCATTGCCACATGCCCTAAGCGCCGGTGTGCCGTTGCCCAATCTGTCTCCCCAGATCTGGCCGACACTTTCACACCAACCCCTCCAACGGCATTGCACTCCCCCTGGGATGCAGACCCCTCTCCAGCCTGCCCCCCACCATGCCACGCCAGGGCCGGCAGCTGCCACATAGATCTGTACACGTCCTTGCTCTCGTGCAGATCCCAAAGCACCCGATTGCCCAGCTTCCCCTTATAAGTGCGTGCCCCATCCGTGTTGGTGTTCACCCCAGCCTTGCCAAGCTTACGGAGGGAGATAAGGTTGGCCTTCAGGTCGGGGACGAAGAGAACGTCGTGCAGCACCACCGGCTTGCCATCCGCTCCCTTAAACGCAGCTCGTCCCGCACCAGCCACCTTCAACATGTGTCCAGAGGCGGAGCACACTTCATTGATCGGTGCAGCTCGTACTTCGTCCAGCAGGTCCTTGCGCGGCGTCATCGTCCAAGCAGCGCCTGTGTCCAACACCCAATAGTCTAGGGGGTGCAGCTCTGCTCCAACTTTGGCAGAGGCGTCTCCTTGCTCCCCCTTGTCTCCCACATGGAAGAATTGGCCCGCGGTGCGCTCCTTCTTCTTCTCCGCACCGCCGTTGCCCTTCGGGTTGTTGTCGGACGAATCAGCGACCATGTTGGCGCCGTTTTTCTGGTTCCTCCGCGCGCCGCCATCCTGGTGACGATTCTGGGGGGTCCATCCATCGGGTTTCTTATAGCACAAAAACCAGGGGTGCCCTTCCTTCTCACAATACCAGCAACTCCCTTTCATTTTGCCACCAGCACCCGACTTGCCCCCACGTCCAGATTTCGCACCGCGACCCCAACCGGTACCTCCTTGTTGGTCGTTGGAGTCGTCGTCTTTCTTTGCACCGCGTCCAGCACCACCAAAGCCACGTCCTCTGCCACGTCGGCTCCCTTGCATCCCGTAGCTGCTGCTGCCGTCGTCTCCACCCCTCAGTTGGCGGCGACGGAAGTCCTCCTCCAGAATCTTCGTCCGCACCCACTCGAGCGTCCACAAGCTCTGGTTCTGCGGCAGGCTCAATCCGCTCGTAAATTGAAGCCATGATTCTGGCAGCAGCGAGAGCATCTTCAAGCACTTGGTCTGCTCCGGGTAGGTGATTCCCGTGGTCGCCAACTTCGCGTAGAGGTCGCGCATCTTGTCCAGGACTGGTTGCACCGGCTCTCCCTCGCTCAGGCGCAACGCGGACAGCTCCCTCTCCAGCATCAACGTTGCGACAACGGAGGTCGGGGCGTGCAGCTCCTTCAACACGGTCCACGCCTTCGGACCGCATTCAACCTCCGGCAGCAGGTGCATGACGTGGTGACGCTGGTTCAGCTCCAAACTCTGCGACATCAAATAGTAGCCAGCCGAGGAGCGCTCGTCCCAATCTTCCTGCAGCGTGGGGTCACTCGGTCTAGGCTCCTCCCCAATCATTAGTTTCAGCAAACCGATCTGACGGAAATATAATTGCATTTTCCAGGCCCAATCATCATAGCCCTCACCATTGAACTTCTCGACGGTGAAATTCTTCAGCACCTCCTTGACAAGCGAGCCCTGGTTTGTTCGCGCTCCCCGTGGCGCTGAAAGACCAGAATCTTGGCTGCCGCTACGATCTTGGGCTGAAGATTCACCAGCTCCCGCCGAGGTGTTGCCCGCCATAGCTACCTATAACGAGGATCACTATAACGCAGCTCTGATACCAGCTTGTTGGTGTAACGGCCTAATAAACTCAAGCTATTAGGACTTAATCAAACTTAAAACCTCTCCTCGGGGTCACCTCCAAGGGTCCCTGGGTGCCTGGCACAAGACCAGCCCCTATCCTCGGGTCCGAGTTTGTAGAGAGAGGGATCAAGAAGGACTTAGTCAAAACAGCAAGAGTACCTTGAACGTCGCGCAGCGTGCCATGCAGACCGTCGGTCGGATTAAGCTGAGAATTCGCTATATCGAAGCTCGCTCCAAGAGCTTTAAAATGAGCCAAGTTGCCTCGCGAAAAGTTCTGCCATTACTAAGTTATGGCTCGGACAGCGTTTGCCTAGCGTTGGAGTGCTAGCATACTAGCGTTGACTCGGGTAGCATTCCGCCGTCGAATAGCGCAGAAACGAAATTCCAGCGAGGAAGGAATTCGCTTGAATCAATTTGACTATATTCAGGTACAAACAGAGAAGGATTAAATAGTTCTAGCTAGCAAGGACCTTGGGAATCAACCTGGGAACAACCAGGGATGATCCCAAATAATTCCAAGCAACAGAACCAACCTGGCTGGACAAAATAGCAGGTGGTAGGTTGGTAAACAACCTCTGGTTCTGTTTTTCCAACCTGGGAAAACAACAACCAGGTTCAGGTTCTAAAAACAGAACCTGTTTTGTCTTTGCCCAACCAGCCAAATGCTGGTTCCGCTGGTTTCCCCTGGCCTTGTAGCATGCAGATACAGACAAACAACATCCAACCTTCACCTAAATTGTACCCCTATAGTGCCTTCCCTGCTACACTATAGTTAACCAAACAAAACAGTACAATTTCGAGTTGGATAGAACTGAATCTGCGCAATCAACTCAACCGAACTGCAAAGCTTCCATCTTGGGTTCCTTTGCGAGCTCGTCCTTTCTTCTTGCACTGTTCATAGCGCGTACAATGTTGTGCCGAAGCGCACATTGCGCGAGTACCTGCAAATGCATCAAGCAAAAAATGCGAAAGCAAACAAACACACGAACACACCATTCACACGCAAATGCATTCGCACACGCATACTCGTACAAACAGACGGCAGGATGTCGTGCAATGTGCATTTGCACCCAACAAAGTTCTCCATCAGCTGCTGCTGCTGAAGAGAAGAATGTCGTCCACGTAGACCAGAAACAGCACCAGCTTCTCCCCCTCCCCCTTGAGAAAGAGACTCTCATCACAGCTGCTGGTCCTGAATCCCATCTCCTCTAAAACAGCTGCCAACTTCTGGTACCAGCAGCGTGGCGCCTGCTTCAAGCCGTAGATTGACTTTTTCAGCTTGTACACTCTGCCGGTACCATTTTCATACCCAGGCGGCTGCGTCATGAACACCTCCTCCTCTAAAATTCCGTTGAGGAATGCCGTTGATATATCCATCTGGATAATGAATTTCCCACTAACGGCTGCATCTGCCAACAAGACACGAAGGGTAGGGGGTTTGGCAGTGGGAGCAAAGATCTCATTGAAGTCCCGCTTCTCCTTCTGCATAAACCCCTTAGCCACCAACCTACTCTTGTAGATGGTGACCTGCCCCTTGTCATCAGTCTTGATCCTTAGCACCCACTTGCATTGTACCGCTTTCTTTCCCTCAGGCAGCACCACTAGTTCCCAAGTGTCAAACATTGCATGTTTATATTGTCTAGGCTGTAGTGGGTTACACCTTAGGGGGTACACAAAGTTAGGGTTTCCTACTTGTACCAAACTCTGTTCTAGTTCATTCATTCCTGCTCAGTTATTTCTGACATGGTTTCAGAGCAGGTCCTTCGCTAGGACTGTTCTTAGGGCCCACCGACTTACCTACCTGCTTACCTTCGCTTGTTTCCGGCCCCGCTGGCCCCGTCGATCTAGCACGATCTAGCGGCCCTGCGGCCCCGTCGAAATTTTTTTTTTTTTTTTTTTAGCGGCCTCTCACGGCCCCCGTCGCGTCGCCCCTTAGCGCCCCGATCGGCCCCGTCACGCCGCCCGCGAACCGCACAGCGCGCCGCGCTCACAGCCCGCGAACCGCCCGCGCACAGCCCGCGACCAGCCCGCGCAGCCCGCGCACAGCCCGCGAACTGCCCGCGAGCAGCCCGCGACCTGCCCGCGAACCCCCGCGAGCCGCCCGCGACCCGCTTACGCAGCCCGCGAGCAGCCCGCACAGCCCGCGCTGAGCCTGCGCGGCTCGTGCGCTGACCGCCGCCGGCCCGCACGCTGCCCGCACTGCTCCCGGCCCGCCGCTGCTGAGCCCGCAGCCGCCCGCGCACCGCCGCTGCTGAACCCGCCGCCGCCCGCGCACCGCCGCTGCTGAGCCCGCCGCCGCCCGCGCACCGCCGCTGCTGCGCCCGCTGCCGCCCGCGTATCACCGCTGCTGAGCCCGCCCCTGCTGCGCCGGCTCTCGCTGCCGCCTGCTGCGCCTGTGCACCACTGCAGATCCTACTACTACACTTCCTGCTACTGCTGCTTGTGCGCCACTACAGTCTGTAGGCCCCACCGGCCCTGCTGACCCTGCGCACGCCTGTTCAGTGACTTTACTGCTTCTACTACTGCCGCTGTCGCTATGGCTAGTCCTCCTGTTCTAGCTTTCGACGCCGAGGGCCGTCCGGTCAAATTCGAAACCTGGCTAGATGACCTGCACCTTTTCCTACAGCTCACTGCCAAGGAAGATATTACACTGTACGACCACGCTCTCGGCCATGCGACCGCCCCACTCGCTACTGCCCCCCCAGCTGAGCGCTCACAGTGGCAGACCCGTGACGCGCACGCTCGCTTTGCTATTCGCAACTCCCTGCCGCTAGATGAGCGCGAGCACTTCGGCCAGTGCAAGACTGCTAAGGACCTCTACACAGCTGTAGTGGCCCGCTACTCCTCACCCGCTTCTGCCACACTAGGCCGCCTCACTCTCCCCTACCTGTTCCCCGACCTAGCCTCTTTTCACACTGTCGCAGACCTCATCACCCACCTTAAGACTAGTGAGGCTCGCTTTCGCGCTGCCATGCCTGATGAGTTCCTCGCTAGCAACCCCCCCCCGCTCTGGATCACTCTCTACCACGTTGTCACCCGCCTCCCTGACTCTCTGCGCCCTGTCAGGGACCAGTTCCTCTCTCGCTCCCCCACTGAGCTCACCATAGCCCTCCTCGAGAAGGAACTGCTTGCAGCCGAGGCTAGTATCGTCGCTGTAGGCACCTCTCGTGGCGACCCCCGCGGCCCCTTCTTCGAGGGGTGCTCCCCTTCCCCCCTCCTCCCCTCTGTCGCCTCTGCTGCTGCTGTCGACCTCCTTGGTGCTGAGAAGGTCGGGGCTGCGTCTGCTTCAGGCGGACGACGCAGGGGCAGGAGTGGCAGGAGTGGGGGTGGTGGCGGAGGAGGCGGGGGTGGAGGTGGTGGCGGTGGAGGTGCGACTGGAGAGGCTAGTGGCGGCGGTGGTGGAGGTGACAGCGGTGTTGGGAGTGGTGACAGGGGCGGAGGTGGCAGCGGAGGCGGAGGTGGTCGTGGCAGCGGCAGGGGTGGAGGTGGCCGGGGCGGAGGCGGAGGGGGTGGTGGTCGTGGAGGCCCGGGGGGCGGTCAGAGTCAGCAGCCTGCCCCGACCCTTCAGGCCGCCCGTGAGTGGTATGCGCGGCGCAGCGTCACCTGCCAGTACGTTATTCGTACAGGTGACCGCACTGGCCAGACGTGTGGGGGGCCGCACCAGACGGAGCGCTGCTTCGCCCGCCTCAACGATGCGTGGCGCACTCAGTTTCCTGGTGGGGGTGAGCTGCCGCGCTGGGCTGATCTGCTCAGGAAGGGTGTTGATATTTGGGCACTTGACTTTGATGCTATTCTCACTGCCATGTATGCGATGTCTATTAGTGGAGAGGGTGCTCAGTACTTGCGTGTTCCGCCCGACCCGGGCATTCAGGCCAGCCCCGCTGCTGCTCTAGGTGCTAGTGTGTCTGCTTCCACAGGTACTTCTGCAGCTGCTGCTCTAGGTGCTTGTGCGTCTGTGCCCCCTGGTACTGAGTCGACTGCAGCACTGCACACCTTCACACTGGACTCAGGTGCTTCTCGCTCTTTCTTTCGTGACCGCACTGTCCTTGAGCCTCTAGCTCGGCCGGTTGCTGTCTCTCTTGCTGACCCCTCTGGGGGTCCGGTCCTTGCGACCTCCTCCACCACCCTTCCGTGTCCAGCGGTTCCGTCCGGCACGCTCTCAGGTCTCTACCTCCCCTCGTTCTCCACGAACTTGGTGGCAGGCAGTACGCTCCAGGACTCGGGTGTTCACCAGTTCACCCCTGCCTACGAGCGTGTGACTCACTGCACGTGTGCTCGGACGGGCCGCCACCTAGCTACTTTCACTCGAGAGCCGGGGTCTGACCTGTACACACTGACCACTGAGTCCCCTCAGGTAGCTGCGTCTGCGTCAGCGTCAGGTCAGCTGTCCGCCCCCTGCTCGTGTCGCTCTCTGGCGAACGACACCGTCCTCTGGCACCACCGCCTTGGTCACCCGTCTGTGCAGCGCCTGCGGGCCATGCACAAACGGGACCTTGTTGCTGGTCTTCCCAGGGTGCTCCCTCCCCTTCCTGACTCCCCTGCTCCTGACTGCATTCCCTGTGTCGAGGGGCGGCAGCGCGCCGCTCCTCACTCCTCCTCCTTTCCCCCGACGACCGCTCCCCTGCAGACGCTCCACATGGACGTGTGGGGCCCGGCCCGCGTCCGTGGTCAGGGTCAGGAGAGGTACTTCCTGATAGTTGTTGACGACTACTCGCGCTACACCACGGTCTTCCCCTTGCGCGCCAAGGGTGACGTCCCTGGTGTTTTGATCCCCTGGATCAGCCGAGCCCGTCTCCAGCTAGGCGAGCGCTTTCACTCGGACTTTCCTGTCCTGCGCTTGCACTCTGACAGGGGTGGTGAGTTCGCCTCCGACCTCTTGGCAGCCTACTGTGCTGAGCACGGCATTGAGCAGTCGTACACGCTTCCGGCCTCTCCACAGCAGAATGGGGTTGCTGAGCGCCGCATTGGCTTAGTCATGGAGGTCGCTCGTACCTCCCTGACCCATGCGGCTGCTCCCCACTTTCTGTGGCCGTTTGCGGTCCGGTACGCAGCGCATCAGCTCAACCTCTGGCCCCGTGTCTCCTTGCCGGAGACTTCCCCGACTCTACGGTGGACGGGAGAGGTTGGCGATGCGTCGCGTTTCCAGGTCTGGGGATCTCGAGCTTTTGTCCGCGACACGTCCGCGGACAAGCTCTCGCGTCGCACTGTTCCCTGTGTCTTTCTTGGCTTTGTTCCCGACGCGCCTGGATGGCAGTTTTACCACGTCACCTCGCGCCGGGTTCTGGCCTCTCAGGACGTCACTTTTGACGAGTCCGTCCCCTTCTACCGCCTCTTCCCCTACCGCACTGCCCCGCTCCCCCCCCCGCCTCTCTTCCTCGCTCCAGGTGCTGAGGTACCAGACCCCCTCCCCCCTCAGGGTGCCGCTCCCTCAGATGTGTCCCAGGTAGACCCGGATGAGCCTGTCGAGGTAGCTGTTGACTCGCGTCCTGCGTCTGGGGGTGCTGAGCCTGGGAGTGCTGCGTTTGAGGGTGCGGAGCCTGGGGGTGCTGAGCCTGGAGGTGCGGAGCCTGGGGGTGCTGAGCCTGGAGGTGCGGAGCCTGGAGGTGCGGAGCCTGGAGGTACTGAGCCTGGAGGTGTGGAGCCTGGGGGTGCGGAGCCTGGAGGTGCGGAGCCTGGAGGTGCTGAGTCTGGACGTGCTGAGTCTGGGGGTGCTGAGTCTGGGGGTGCTGAGCCTGAGCGTGCTCCACCTGGAGGAGCCCCCTCCTCCCAGCAGCTGCAGGAGAGGTACCTCGAGTACTGCCGCCTCCGGAGAGGTGCTTCTGGAGCTCGTCCCGGTACTTCCCCTCCTACCCAGGAGCTCCCCCCCATTCAGGTGATCCGCGAGTGGTACACGCGGCGCTGCAGTCTTCGTAGTGGTGCTCCTGGTACTGCGGACCCGAGCGGTGGTGCTGTTGCTGGTGCTGAGGACCCGGACGCTGGAGCTGCTGCTGGTGCTGAGGACCCGGGGGCTGGAGCTGCTGCTGGTGCTGAGGACCCGGGCGTTGGAGCTGCTGCTGGTGCTGAGGACCCGACCGGTGGCGCTGCTGCTGGTGCTGAGGACCTGACCAGTGGCCCTGCTGCTGGTGCTGAGGACCCGGGCGTTGGAGCTGCTGCTGGTGCTGAGGACCCGACCGGTGGTGCTGCTGCTGGTACTGAGGACTCGGGCGTTGGAGCTGCTGCTGGTGCTGAGGACTCGGGCGTTGCGGCTGCCACTGGTGTCCCTGCTGCTTCTGGAGACGCTGCGCGGCCGCGACCGTACTTCGTACCGCTCCTTCAGCAGGTTCTTGGTCAGGCTCCTCCTCCTTGTCCTCCTCCCTCCGTCGAGTGTCCTCTGCCTGTCCAGCCGCAGTCACAGTTACCGCCTGTCTCGCCTCTCCCTGCTCCCTCCCCTTACACTGGTCCCACAGGAGGTCTTACAGAGCGTCGTGAGCCTGAGTCTCGTCCTGCGTCGCCTGTTCGTACTGCTCGCACTGGTCGTCGTGTCCCACGTGAGCGTCCTCCTCCTGTCCCTGGCACTCACTACATGACTCTGCGTCCCTCCACTGCTCCGCAGCGTGTCCCGCTGCCGTCTCCTCCTGCGTCCTCTCTTCCTACTCTTCCTGACCCGGAGTCTGACTCCCGTCGTGCTGCCAGTCCCACTGTTACGCGTCTCCTCGCTACAGTTGTCACTGACCCGACCTTTGAGTCCTCTGCTGCGTCTGCCCTGGTCGCTGAGTTGGTTGACTTTGCTGCTCGCTGTCGCCTAGACTACGCTGCCAGCCTTGTCGCTAGGTCTGAGTCTGCGTCTGCCTGTCCTCCGTCCGTCGGGGGTGAGTGTGCCCTCGGCACGGACGTCCTTGAGGACAGACAGGAGGAGTTCCACTGCCTTGCTGCTGCTTTGCCCCGTCTCGTGTCCTTGCTAGTTGCCCCTGAGGGAGACCCGGATGCACCAGACATCCCGACCCCACGCTCTTACGCTGAGGCGATGGCGGGTCCCTACTCCTCTCAGTGGCAGACAGCCATGGACGCAGAGATGGCCTCCTGGAAGTCCACAGGCACCTACGTAGACGAGGTTCCCCCTCCTGGGGCGAACATCGTCAGTGGCATGTGGATTTTCAGGGTGAAGCGGCCTCCGGGTTCTCCACCTGTCTTCAAGGCGCGCTACGTGGCTCGAGGCTTCAGTCAGCGAGAGGGAGTAGACTTCTTTCAGACCTTCTCCCCCACCCCGAAGATGACTACTCTTCGGGTGCTGCTGCACATAGCCGCTCACCGCGACTACGAGCTTCACTCTCTTGACTTCAGCACTGCTTTCTTGCAGGGCAGCCTGCACGAGGAGATCTGGCTGCGCCGCCCCCCTGGCTTCACTGGGTCATTTCCTCCTGGCACCCAGTGGAGGCTTCAGCGGCCGGTCTACGGTCTCCGCCAGGCGCCACGTGAGTGGCACGACACACTGAGGACGACACTTGCGGCTCTTGGGTTCGCTCCCTCTACTGCTGACCCGTCGCTGTTTCTACGCACCGACACCTCGCTGCCGCCGTTCTACATCCTCGTGTACGTCGACGACTTGGTCTTTGCCACTGCTGACACCGCGGCACTCGCTCACGTGAAGTCGGAGCTGCAGAGGAGACACACGTGCACAGACCTGGGTGAGCTGACGAGCTATCTTGGCTTGCGGATCACCCGGGACAGAGCACGGCGCACCATCACCCTGACTCAGTCACACATGGTGCAGCAGGTTCTCCAGCGCTTCCGCTTCACGTACTCCTCGCCTCAGTCCACTCCTCTGCCTACCGGTCACTCGCTCTCAGCTCTGCCTTCGGATGAGTCCGTAGAGCCGAGTGGCCCGTATCCAGAGCTTGTGGGCTGCCTCATGTACCTGATGACCTGCACTCGACCTGACCTTGCATACCCTCTTAGCATCCTAGCACGCTATGTCGCTCCTGGCCGTCACCGGAAGGAGCACATGGATGCTGCTAAGAGGGTGTTGCGCTACTTGTGCAGTACGTCGGGCATGGGGCTTGTGCTTGGAGGGCGAGACCGGGTTGTTCTCACAGGGCACTCAGACGCTTCTTGGGCAGACGACCAGGCTACTCAGCGGTCGTCCCAGGGTTACACCTTCAGCCTTGGCTCTGGCTCAGTTTCTTGGCGTTCTACTCGCTCTTCTTCTGTTCTCAGCTCCAGTTGTGAGGCTGAGATCTACGCCACAGCCATGGCTGCTCAGGAGCTACGCTGGCTGACCTACCTGCTGACCGACCTCGGAGAGCGGCCTCGTTCTCCTCCAGTGCTGTACGTCGACAACAAGGCCGCCATTGCCTTGTGTGAGGAGCACAGACTGGAGCACAGAACGAAGCACATCGCTCTGCGGTACTTCCTTGCTCGAGAGCTGCAGCAGCGTGGTCAGCTTTGTCTGCGTTACGTGGCCACGGAGGCCAACACTGCTGATGTGTTCACCAAGGCGCTTCAGCCTTGTGACCATCAGCGCTTTTGCACTCTGCTAGGCCTTGTACCTACTGGGCCTCACTTGCTTACCTCTTGACCTTACTTGTACTGTGATCACTATATATATATGCCTTCTTGCTTACTTTTGCTAGGTTGTGATCACTGTATCTCTTGCTTTGTTATAAACCTGCATGTGAACTGGTCTTGTGACCGCTTGCTTGTGCTCGGAATTTGTGTGGAATCCTTGAGATCCACCCTGAGCTTGCTTTGCTTTGCTTTGACTGGTCTTGTGACCCTGTGGTTGTTTCCCACTGCGCCTATGGGGGTGTGTCAAACATTGCATGTTTATATTGTCTAGGCTGTAGTGGGTTACACCTTAGGGGGTACACAAAGTTAGGGTTTCCTACTTGTACCAAACTCTGTTCTAGTTCATTCATTCCTGCTCAGTTATTTCTGACACCAAGTCCCATTCTCCAGCAGGCTCTGGTACTCAGCATCCCTAGAAGCCAGCCACTTGTCCCTATCTGGTCCAGCTAATGCCTCCTCCATGCTAGCTGGTTCCTCTGGTGCAGGGGCAAGAAAACAGTACGCAGGCTCATCCTCCTCATCCGGGTCATAGCCATGAGGTAGAATCAGCATTGCCTCCTCGGTCCCAAGCTGCTGCTCTGCTACGTCAGATCCTGCAGTCAGCTTCATTGTTGCCATGCGGGTGCGCCCTAACCTAGAGACGGGTGTTTCCCACCCCTTCATAACGACACCCTTCGGCTTCCTCCTTTGCGGTAGCTTAGGCACCTTACCTTTGCTCTGCTGCTGCTCTCCTCTTTCAGATCCAGCAGCTTCACCAGTGCTATCACTAACCTCTCCTCCATCAGCAGGTGCCTCCTGTACCTTCTCTCCATCACCACCCCCCGCAGCTGCCTCCTCTCCCTCCTCCCACACACTAGGAGTCAGGTCCAGCTGCATGGTGATCTGCTCCATCTGCTGGGACACCCTTGCCTCCGGCTGTTTCTCCCAGCTCCCATACATCATGCCCTCAATGAATTTCACATCCCTGCTGTCAAACAACACACCCTTGGATGGTTCCCATAGCAGCCATCCCTTGCTCTCAGCAGCCAGCCCCAAATGCACACACCAGATTGCACTTGCCCCCAACTTACTGCGGTAGGTCTTGGGGACGTGGGCGACTGCCATGCAGCCAAACACCCTCAGCATGTCCACCGGCGGCTTCCTCCCAAGCCACCTCTCCAACGGCACCCACGAGTCATCCCCAACCTTGGTGAGCACCCTGTTCCTAGCGACGGTAGCGTGCCGAACAGCGTGGGGCCACATGGAGTTGCCAAGCCCAGATTCTATGAGCAGCGTCCTAGCTGTCTCTAGAATGGTCCGGTTCGCCCGTTCTGCTACACCGTTGGACTGTGGGGTATAAGCCGTAGTCAGCTCCCTCTGGATGCCCTGCTTCTTGAGCCAGGCCGTCATTTTAGCTCCAAGGAACTCACCACCCCGGTCTGTCCTAATCCGCTTCACCATACACTCCGCTTGCTTCTCCACGAACGGCAGCCAATCGTCCCGAATCGTGGAGGCGGCGTGATCTTTCTGCTTCAGCGGATACGCCCACATTAGCCTGCTCCAGTCATCCACTATGGTTAGGAAATACCGCTCCCCCTTGTGCCCTTGCACCGGCAGCGGCCCCACCAAGTCCATGTGGACCAGCTCCAACGGCTTCTTGCTCCTGCCAGCCACACTATGGAAGGGGAAACGGGTAAACTTTGAGAGCAAACAGATTTCACAGTTATCATCGGGTGGCTGTCCGTTCAGCTTCAGACCCTTAACAGCTCCATCCTTCTCCAGCTGCTTCAGCAAAGGCATTGCCACATGCCCCAAGCGTCGGTGTGCCGTTGCCCAATCCGTCTCCCCAGATCTGGCCGACACTTTCACACCAACGCCTCCAACGGCATTGCACTCCCCCTGGGATGCAGACCCCTCTCCAGCCTGCCCCCCACCGTGCCACGCCAACGCCGGCAGCTGCCACATGGATCTGTACACGTCCTTGCTTTCCTGCAGATCCCAAAGCACCCGATTGCCCAGCTGCCCCTTATAAGTGCGAGCCCCATCCGTGTTGGTGTTCACCCCAATCTTGCCAAGCTTACGGAGCGAGATAAGGTTGGCCTTTAGTTCGGGGACGAGGAGAACGTCGTGCAGCACCACCGGCTTGCCATCCGCTCCCTTAAACACAGCTCGTCCCGCACCAGCCACCTTCAACATGTGTCCAGAGGCGGAGCACACCTCATTGATTGGTGCAGCGCGCACGTCGTCCAGCAGGTCCTTCCGCGGCGTCATCGTCCAAGCAGCGCCCGTGTCCAACACCCAATAGTCCAGGGGGTACACCTCTGCTCCAACCTTAGCAGAGGTAGTACTTGACCTCCAAACGTTCTTGCACTTAAAGTTTTCCATCAGTTGCGGCTGCACTTTCTGGATCTCCCTTATGCTGTTGCTGAAAAGAAGAATGTCGTCCACATAGACCAGAAACATCTCCTCGGGGTCACCTCCAAGGGTCCTTGGGTGCCTGGTACAAGACCAGCCCCTATCCTTGGGTCCGAGTTTGTAGAGAGAGGGATCAAGAGGGACTTAGTCAAAACAGCAAGAGTACCGCAGACCGTTGATCGGAAGCTGATAATTTGCTATATTGTATCTCGCTCCAAGAGCTTCGAAATAAGCCAAGTTGCTTTGCAAAAAGTTCTACCATTACGAAGTTATGGCTCAGAAAGTCTTTGCCTAGCGTGGAATGCTAACGTACTAGAGTTTACTCGGGTAGCATTTCGCTGTCAAACCGTGTAAAAACGAAATTTCATCAAGAAATAAATTTGCTTAAATGAAAATAGCAGGTGGTAGGTTGGTAAACAACCTCTGGTTCTGTTTTTCCAACCTGGGAAAACAACCAGGTTCAGGTTCTAAAATCAGAACCTGATGCCCAACAGCCAAATGCTGGTTCCGCTGGTTTCCCCTGGCCTTGTAGCATGCAGATACATACAAACAACATCCAACCTTCATCTAAATTGTACCCCTATAGTGCCTGCCCTGCTACACTACAGTCAATCAAACAAAACATGACAATTTTGAGTTGGATATAACTAAATCTGTGCATTCAAATTTACTGAACCGCTAAGCTTCCATCTTGGGTTCATTTGCAACCTCGTCCGTTCTGCTTGCACTGTCCATAGCGGGTAGAAAGTTGTGCCGAAGCGCATATTGCGCGAGTACCTGCAAATGCTTCAAGAAAAAGTTGTGTAAGCAAACAAACTCACGAGAACATCATTCACATGCAAATGCAATCGCACACGCATACTCGTACAAACGGACGGCAGGATGTCGTGCAATGTAAATTTGCACCCAACACACTCCCCCTCAGCCTGCCGGCTGCATTCACATCAATCCATGCTAGTTCATGCTCATTCCACTCATGCGCACACAACGCCAATGAGGCTCATCCGCAAGCCTCTTGGTGAGAAAGTCTGCTGGCTGCTGGTGAGTCTTGATATAGATTGGATGTACCGTCCCTGTCTTCACCTCCTTAATCAGCCAGTGCCACTTGATACGAATGTGCTTGTTCAGCACACGAAGCACAGCGTTCCTGGCCATCCCAAGAGCCCCCTTGCTGTCACAAAACAGCAGCGTAGCAACCTTCTGCTCCTGGCCAATCTACTCAGCCATATCACCTCCTTCATCCCATGGAACATCGTCATGGAGCATCGTCATTCAACAGATGAGAGTGCCGTCTCCGTCTGCTTCTTGGACCTCCAACTAACAGATCCTACCCCAACTACGCAAATGTATCCTTCCACAGATGAGGAATCTCCCTTGTCAGAAGCCCAAGTAGCATTTGTAAAGCAAGTGAAAAAGAGCTTGCCTTCTCCAAGCCTCTCCCCCTTCTCCTTCAGCACCTCAACCCCTTTCTGCTTCATCAGCGGGTGCGGAGAATTGAACTTCAATACTTCGGTGAGAGTTCAGTTAATTTACCACACCCTCAGCTGCGTCTTCCTGCTTTCTGCACCACCCTAGCCAGATGCCTACCCGAGAAAGAGATGTCCGGCCTCGTGTGAACTGCTGCATATAAGAGGCTGCCCACCAAGGATTGAACCCCTTCATCCTCTGCAGCCTTCACAAACTTGCTGGCATGGGAGTTGCAACTTTGCGCTCATTCTCAATCCCATACTTCTCCCCTAGCTCCTTGAAGAACCTCTCCTGGTGCAACCACCTTTGATCCAGATCCCTCTCTACGTGCATCCCAAGGTAGTACTTTACCTCCCCAAGGTTCTTGCACTTAAAGTTCTCCATCAGCTGCTGCTGCACTTTCTGGATCTCCTTCATGCTGCTGCTGAAGAGAAGAATGTTGTCTTCCACGTTGACCAGAAACAGCACCAGTTCCTCGCCCTCCCCCTTGAGAAAGAGGCTCTCATTACAGCTGCTGGTCCTGAATCCCATCTCCTCTAAAACAGCTGTCAATGTCTGGTACGAGCAGCGTGGCACCTGCTTAAAGCCGCAGATGGACTTTTTCAGCTTGCACACCCTGCCCGTACCATCCTCATACACAGGTAAAATTCCACTAAAATGATGAATCATATATGCTCGGACACCCTTGCCCACGGCTGTTTCTCCCAGCTCCTATACACCATGACCTCAATGAATTTTACATCCCTGCTGTCAAACAACACACCCTTGGATGGTTCCCACAGCAGCCATCCCTTGCTCTCAAAGGCCAGCCCCAAATGCACACACCAGATTGCACTTCCTCCAACTTACTTCGGTAGGTCTTGGGAACGTGGCCGACTGCCATGCAGCCGAACACCCCTCAGCATGTCCACCGGCGGCTTCGTCCAAAGCCACCTCTCCAAAGGGACCCACAAATCATCACCAACCTTGGTAACTATCCTGTTCTTAGCGACGGTAGCATGTCGGACAGCATGAGGCCACATGGAATTGCCAAGCCCAGATTCTGTAAGCAGCGCCTTAGCTGTCTCTAGAATGGTCAGGGTTGCCCGTTCTGCTACACCGTCAGATTGTGGGGTGTAAGCCATGGTCAGCTCCCTCTGGATGCCCTAC